AAAGCTTAACGTGCCGCAACGTTCGGCACGGTCCGTCGTGCCCTCTGACGTCAACTGACCTTTAGTGCGACCGCTGCCACCGGCCGCAGGCCATACCTGTCAAGGACAAATAGCGAGCGCCTAAAGCGACTCGAACCCACCCCGCCACGGGTGGGTGAATCGGGAGGCAGGCGCTCTAACCAACTGAGCCACCGGGACGGGCTGAGCCACCGGGACGGACAAGATGCGCAAGAATGCACGCCTTATACGTATATAAAATTACCATTTCAGGCGGGACACTAAGCTAACCATTCGTGCACGAATGTCCTTGGCTGAAAATCGGCAGGCTTTGAGTGAGGCAAGGCCTGACAATTTCACTTGACGAGCACGATGAAGTTGGGTGGTTTGGCTCTTTGGAAATCGTGTCAATATGCTGTGAATTGCATACATTTTGTGTGGATATTGGCTACAATAAGCCTGGCTGCACTGTGCCCTTCGTATGCGGTTTGTATGGTCTCTGTGTAGGTCACGGCGTGTAGCATTGGAGACCGGTTTCGGAAACGTTGACATTGTCTGCCCTCGGTTTAGTAAAGGCTTACCATTGAGCCAAATTGTAATGCATGCTGTGATGTTCAGTCGGAACATTCGCAAACAACGTACAGTTGGTTACACGTATTTAGCTGTTTTGGTTTCCAAAACCTCATACCAATCCTCACCATGGCCCACAGTGGGTGACTCTGTGGTGTTGGAGAGGGCGAGACCAGCCGCATGCATCATCCATTCACACTTTTCTCCCCTAAGATGGATCGCTTCCCTCCAGCAAAATGCATTGCTCTCCTATTGCAGCGATGCCGGGTCGTCGAAAAGTGGACGTACTTTAAGGCCGTGCTCTTGAGCGTTTTTGCAATTTCAGAATCAACAAAATCAGTCAGCAAAAAACAAATCCCATGGCAGCTTTTGAAGAAGTACGTTACTTATTGCTGAGACCCACCTGACATTACGACCACTGGCAACACAGTAAAAAGCCGTTAAAAGTCCAAGTGCCGTCCAGGGTCGGCTGGCATAGCTAAAGCTAGGCAATTTAAGTTAGGGGACGCAAAGAACCGCCGTAACAAGCGGTTCTCCCTGGAGTATATCGCAAAGGAGCCCAAAGAGTAACTGTATTTCCTTATTTATTGCGAAAGCATACAGTAAGCCGGTGACAACCATAATTTGCACCCCTCTGCATGACTGGCCAGCGGTCTGAGCCTCGCTCTGAGGCGATGGCTGTCTCCAATCAACATTTGTGCGATAAAAGCCCGCTGCATGTCATCCAATATTGGTCCTTAGAATTCTAGCAATACTGAAGCGCTCTTTTTCCATATTTTTCTTCCGTGTGGTATTGAAAAACAAGATCAAGTTTTTTCTACAAGGCTCTTTTTGCCTTAACACGCACACGGGTGGGGGTGAAATTGACCTCTTAAGGTTTTTCCAGAATGGTTTTCGAGCGGCGCGGTGCAGCCACGCCAAATTTGGCATAGCTGTAGACAATTAAATAGCAAATCGTTTGGTATAACAATTTAGATGTACCTTATAAGGTCGCTGACTTATGGCAAATCAAAGTCAAGCCATGGTTTCAGCGAAATCAATTTCTAGGGAATCATTCAGTCTAATCCAACAACGGAGCGTTAGATGAAGCCATACACCTCTGAGATGCTTTCTTAGGCAACACAAGTATTGAATGAACTAATAACGTTGACCTAGGGTCGGGTATAAAAGTCAGACCAAGGTCAAAACCAAACTGTTTTATCACTCTAGGGCTTGCTGTATGGAGGAGATTTTGGTGCTCAGTTTGAATTTATCGATAGCAGAAACCGCATCATACATCTTCCATGGACTTCTTAGAGGTCAGAATAAGTCATTGACCTAAAATGACCCAGGTCAACATTTTGTTTTTGGAGACATACGGCCTAGTGTAATTTTTGTCGCTTGTCCAAATGCAAAACTTAGGGCAGTCTTGTATGATTTTGGTCACTACGACCCTCAAAAGGTCAAACAAGGTCACTGGCCTTAAATATGAGCATATGACTTTTTGCTTAGCTACAGACTAGGACCTGGGGGCACTTCGGAGACCAGTCTCGAATTTGACCTTGTTTGACCTTATTCGACACGAAGTGTCTGAACTAGGAACCTCAACATCTGTCCTAAGTGAGTTTACGTACAGGTCAATACACCCTGTAAATTTGGTGTCTCTAGCTCTCTTAGTTCTTGATATCTCAGGGAGTCAAATTAACCCCCATCCGAGCGAAGCGTATCTGGCCGGCCACCCGGGCACGTATTAACATCACACCGAAACAGCCAGAACGGCATTTTGATACGCGCCCGGGTGGCCGGTTGGATACCCTTCTCTCGGGTGGGGGTCAATTTGACCCCCTCTGAGATCCCAGGAGCTAAGAAAGTTTGAAAAACCAAACTCACAAAGTGTGTTAGCCCTTACGTGAACTCACTTAGATCAAAGTTTGAGGTTCCTAGGCCATGACCTCCGGGTCAAACAAGGTCAAACAAGGTCAGACTCCAGGTTGGTCTTCAAAGTGCCCCAGAACCTGGATACCTGTTCTAAGCAAAAGTTGTCATTCCATTTAAAATCAGCGACCTTGTTTGACCTTTTGAGGGTCATGGTGATCAAAATCATACAGGATTGCTTTCAATTTTGCATTTCAAGAAACCATAAAGGCTCCGTCGGGCAGTTTGCTCCTAAAAACAAAATGCTGATCTGGGTCATTTTAGGTCAGTGACCTTTTCTGATCTTTAAGAAGCCCATGGAAGCTGTATAATGCGGTTTTTGTTATCAGTGAATTCGAAATGAGCACCAAAAACTAACCCATATCGCAGTCCCTAGAGTAATAAAACAGGTTGGTTTTGATCTTGGCCCGACCTTTATACCTGACCCTAGGTCAATGGAATTTGTTCACTTAATTGTTGTGTTGCCTAAGAAAGTATCTCAGAGATGTACGGCTTCGTCTAACACTCCGTTGTTGCATTAGGTTGAACGATTTCCTAGAAATTGACTTCGCTGAACCTAAGGGCCTTTTTTGACCTGTCGCAGATCAGCGACCTTACAAGTTACATCTAAATTTTGTATGCCAAACGGTCTGCTATTCAATTCTGTACAGCTGTGCAAAATTTGGCGCGGCATAGCCACGTCATTCGGAAAGCATTTTGGAAAACTTTGGCGGCGCAATTTAACACCTACCCGAGTGCATGTTAACGTTGCCCATTCCGTGTTCAGGCATGATTTTAAAGATGATGGTCTTAAATTCCCGGGTCGTAATGTGCGTGCGGTTAGCCAGTAGTCGATGCCCTTATGGCGTTGTCGGAAGATGTTTATTGTGTATATGCGGCATGTTTTTGCTAGTTTTCATGTCTCATTCCCAGAGTTGTTTCATTAGTTTGGTCGCGCAAATCACGGCAAAACGGCGCAAAGGGTCGATTCTGAAATGCTGCCAGACATAAAGAGTCGCTGGGCAGAGGCGCACAGGACAAAACAACGATCGAGTAGGAGAACAACAAGGTGCCGATGGAGTGGATCGCGCAGTGAACATGGTGAACGCACAAGAACGCTTCCGCTTCAACAGGGAAATTCATTGACTACTTTGATAGACCTACCGGCGAGCGATGGGTATCACTCTCGTTTATTCTAAGTTCCATGTAGTTCACATTTGGGACTGGATGACGTTTGTGATTAGCGTAAGGTGTTCTGATATGTAACAAGTTACCGAAATGTTAGGGGAATACCTTTTTGCCGAATGCAATTTACCGAATGCTATGTTAAGCTGCTGTTTTCGTTCCTTGCTAGCGTGCCAGTAAGGTGGAATATTGAAAATATACACGTAATTTTCAAACTAGCTTTTTGCAGGCGTACGCCTTGACAAAATATTAATAAGTTGAAGCCCATTTTCACCAATGCACATTTGTCGGAAAGATCTTTAGTCGAATGCCAATTTGCGGAAACGCTTTTAAGTTGAATGCCAATTATCAAAGCGTTTTTTGTTTGAATACTAAGCTTCCGAAACACTCTGTAGCTAGCATGCTCTAAATCAAACACTAACTAACCAATGTGTTTTTGTCGAATGGTAGCTACCGCAATGTGCTTTGGCTGAAAGTTGATTTGTCGAAATTATTTTTTTGTACCAGGTGAAATATTTGACTGCTCTTTTGACGAACAGCTATGTTTATACAGCTATATAGAGATGTTTGTCAATGGATCATAGACATAAGCACCCAAGTCCTCAATGCCCATGTCTACTCGGCATATCGTGATCATCTTTTTCACCATCACCCTGAGAGGAAACCTAGCCAGCTAAATCCGTGATACATTTTCGTCAAACGGTATTAGATAGGGGTAACTGAACAATAGTAAAAAGGACTCTTGACGGGCAAATCAGGTCCACCCCTTCCGCCTCCCCTGTTACAACACCTTGACATGCTGCCACTATACGGGAAACGCCGTTGAACAGCCACTAGACCTCGCGTGAATAGGAGGCAGATCGACCCGATCCCCTCACCATATACGGTTTTTTAGGATATCTGTCCGATATATTGTGCAATCACACCCAAATTTTTAGTAGATTATGGGGCATTCATGACGGGTGTTGAGACACCAGAAATATGTTCCTAGCTTTTCTGATTTTGGAGCAGCCGCGGATGTTGAGAAGAAGCACTGCGCGTGCGAACTACGGCCGGTGTGTGCGGCGGGCGGCAGACTATGATGCCGCAGAACGCGCGCGGCGGACCGACAGAAATAGATTATTCATCGTTAATATGATGTCTGTGTAGCAGCCCAATCTGACGCAGGGGAAAAACTACACGGCAAGAAAACCTGAACTCGCTCTTGGATCTAATTATTTTCTGAAGAACATGTCGCTGTTCTCCATTTGATACATGCTTCGCATTGCGTTAAGCAACTCATGGCTGACTCGGACCGCATTCGATGCTGGCTGCTGCACATATTTCAACGCTTTTAGCCAATTCGTGAGACACACTTTCCGCGTTTCATTGCTTCTGTGTATTAGATCAAGTCAGATCAAGCTGTTTTCGTACAGACCCGTCACCATCATCCCAGGAAATGCATCTGTCTAGAGCGAAACTTGCCAATGTGCAGACAATAATTGCAGGGATAGAGAGAACACGTTTGGCCGTGGCAACAACCGAAGCCGCTTTGCCTCGCTAGATATTATAAAGCCATCCAGCACAAGTCAGTGAGGCTTTGCGGCATGTGTGTAAGGACGGACGTATGGGTAAATGTCTTGAACAAGAAGGTCTCAGACGAAGCTGACGGAGGCGGTGAAGCCGGTCTGCAGGGAGGGGTAGCTGCCGCCGGCGTATGTGTGCATCTCCAGCGCCAGCCGGTTGCCGGTCGTGGTGTACGTCTTGCCCTGCAGTTCGCTGCCGCAGGCGTTAACGTCGGCCGAGTTGTCGCTGTTCGTGTACAGGTTAATCCAGTCCCAGTAGCAGTTGCCATCGCTGTAGCGGTACAGCACCTTGGCTGTGTTGAAGGTGATTCTGACGCGCCGGCCAGCCGGTGCCGTCACGATCCAGAAGCAGTTCTGGTTGCGCGGGTAGATGCTGGGCCAGTTGATGGAGCTGACGGTGCCAGCCGAGGTGATGGCCTGGTTGCCGCAGATGCTGCCGTAATATGGCGCTGTCACCGTCTGACAGCGGGAGCCGCTGGTGCCCGGCGGGCAGACGCAGCTGCATGCCTTACTGACGTAGCCGCCGTTTTGGCACGCAGGCGGGCTGGAGCAGGAGGCAGCACAACTGTACATGGCGTTGGCCAGCTGCTTATCACGGTGCGAAAGGCCGGTCCGGCTGCCGATCAGGCCTGAGTACTGCAGCTGGTTCACCTGGATAGTCGGCTGGCCATTCTTGGTGAAGTACGTGCTGCCGTAGTGCATGACGGAGGTGTAGTCGTAAGGTACAGAGTAGTTGTTGGCGTTGGAGGCGATGGCAAAGTTTCCGCTCCTGCCGTCCTGGATGTTCCCGGTCAGGATGGTGACGTAGTTGTTCCTATCCGGTCGCGACTGCTCGTGGTTGAAGCCGAGCGCGTGGCCGACCTCGTGCGCGATCGTACCCAAGCCGGTACAGCCGGTGCCGATGCTGACGTCCTGGCCTGAGGTCCAGCCGGTGCGGCCAACGTACGACCAGCAGCCCGACTGCTTGCTGAAGCGCAGGTGCGGCTCGCCGGCGAAGCTGGCCGACACCTCGGTGAAGGTGACGCAGGTGTGCTGGCGCCAGTGGTTGAGCGCCGCCTCGATGGCAGCCCGGTCCGGCACGGAGGTGGACGTGATGGCGTACTTGACCTGGCCGCCGGGCCACAGGTTGGGCGCCGCCTTCCGGTCCAGCTTCTGCTCCTCCGTCAGCACCATGTCCGACTCGAACAGCTCCAGACCGGAGTCGGTCACGTCTGGGTTGTGGTTCTCAAACAGGTACTGCGGCTCGGGGATCTCCTCGGTGAAGAGCGCCTCACTCTGCGGTGACACGCTCGAGGGCGCGGCGGCGGCGACGGCCAGCAGACTTACCATCAGGAGACGAGACATAGCTGAGTCAGTGGTGATTGGACGCGGGCCGTCGTATTTATAGGTGGAAGGACACCGGACACAGGTGTCGCCTGTAGGGGGAACATTGACATCTGCATCTGCGAGAAGTTCCCCGTCAACCAGTGGGAGAGGGAGAGGACTGTTGGAAAGCGTTCGGTCCCAGCGTTGCACACCTGTGCTAATTGACAACCGTTGTCTCTGGACAGGGTCATCATGCTCCATCAATGTACAGCTGCCGAGGTCCTTTCAAGACGACGTATTGGCGCATGCCTCCTCATGTATTGGGGAATAAAAACCAGGCATAAGCTGATAAGGTCACGTCTATCGAGACAGGATAGTGTAAGTCGTGATTTAGCCACTGCGCAGCGACGTGCGATTCATGTGATCGTTACGGTGAATTTGAACTCGTGAGTTGGCATTACGTCAATAGTTGAACTCCTTCCTTCCGCACAGGGACAATACTATGCGCGGTTGAGTGACTAACACCACAAAAAGGTAGCATTTTTACATTTTCGGTCGTTGGGGTTCCATTACGGAAGAGAAAAAGTGTGACTTGTAAAGTCGAACTTCATAGGAGACATTCACGGTATAAAAATATAGAAGTCATCCAAGTTATGTCACAGTCATATTGATTTTACATAAACAGTAATGCACTTTTTGCGGAGGAGGACGAGAGAGCCTACAGAGGTAATTAAAGCATGTGCCCGTCTCCCACGGAACATAAGTGGTCTGATCTGTCTCCTTAATCCTCGCCACGATTCGCCGATGTTTTTCATAATGCAGATGGGGAGGGAGGAGGAGGGGGGGGGGGGGGTACGAACTCCACCACCTGAGGTTTCGAAAGTAATACAGAAAACCCCAGTGGATTAGTCTCAACGAGAATTCATGACTGATTTTAGCAAAGGTCCAGCTTGCCGGAAAATGAATTCAAGGAGTGCCTATTATTTATGCAAATGAAAACATTCGTGTAACAGGCCTCCCCTTCTTACCTCAAAACGCAAAACCCCCAGCAGTATATTGGTATTATCTATTCTAGGTGTCCGCATAGTACAGAAAGTTACCAAAAAATGCGTTACTTGCATGAATCAAGACATTGCGTAAACATACATGATATGGCTTGTTTTTCATGAAAGACCAACTCATCTGCCTAGTGAAACTTGATTTCTAACGATCAACCAGCCTACCAGCAATGGCAAAGATGGTAGTAGATGTTAAGCATGAATAAATCCTCAATCTTGCACTAAATGGGGGGGGGGGGCTTTCTGCAATTTAGGTTTTGTTTTACCTAGCACGCTCCAACATCGATCTTTCACAAAATTTAGATCCCTTGGAACTGGTTTACGCAATTCCCAAGGCTTAAACACAAAATACTCCTGAAATTAGCATCCGAAATGTACTTTTCAGGGTATTTTTAATGATAAATTCTTAACTACTCACTTGAATATATTAGCATACATTGGAGAACACTATAGGTTGAAAGAGCTTTAAGTTTCCGGCATCAGCTTTGCCTAATTAGCAAAGCGCAGCAAAGATGTCGATGAGACGCATCAGAAAGCCAGAATCTTGCCCCAACAGCACTTTCTTGCTTTCTTGATGGCACTACCTGCTAGCAAGGTAATTCACACTTTGCCTTTATAGGATGAGCTTATCCCCAAAATTTACATAAACCAATACCACATTGGAATTTCGCTCAGTTCCTGTCACGACACAATGTTGTGATATCCGGCCAGTTTTCAGAGTCTTTTTCAACCAAAAAATTAAATGAAGCTCATAAGACTGTTGTCTCTATACAGAGTCCCGATATTAAAATTATTCTATCGGGTATGAGTTGCTGTGAACTGAACTTATAATCTGGTTATTCAATACCATGCCCCATTTATGGTCACGCTACTCATTTTGTTCAACAGGTACCTATGCCAAAATGGATATGGCCTATCACCCCCATCTAGCTTCCACCCATAACTCCCACTACCGACCCACCAAAGGTTGCATTCAAATTTAGCTGCACTTGCCAACCTGCACCTGTACTCACAATCCCTCTGGAAAAGCACACAATCGCTTTGGCAAAACACACAACGGGCACACACCTAGATGATTGACAATACTCAATGATTTGGTTGTTCGGTTGCTTAGATTAGAGCCCTTTCGACTGGAAAGGATCATTTCAGGGCTATGAGATGAAGGAGAGTGGTTCACGGTGGGACAGGCTTGCATGCGCCTGGGGGGCCAACTACCGAGCTTCACTCCGCGCATGTGCGCTGGGTACCCGGTCGAGGCCCCCATTCGCAGGTGGCCTCTCAGCCCACTCGTGGCTGACGCATGCAGCCTGCCCCGGATAGCGGGGTGTCGCGAGGATGCAGGATGAAGTAAAAAAAGGATAAGAGGGTTGGATGTTCAATGCTGCAATGACGTATTTTAAATCGAACTGCGGTTCTATGATAAGAACAAAGTTATGCTCAAAGGAAATAATGACGTCATTAGTATTTGCGTTACCGGTATTGTGTCATACTATTTTTTACCAACAAGACATAATTTTAAAGTTGTCTCAATAACTTGCATTACTTATTACATTCCTCGAATAAAGAGCTGATGCACAAGCTCGGCTTGGCGATTATGCGACGTCTTTGAGGCTCATGTGATGCGTTTACGTCTTCAGCAAGCGGTCAAATGTCGTTTACGCTGAGGAGACAGCGCAGTAAGGACGGGGAGGATATTCGAAAGTGAACTAGAATAACTCTTCAAAAAATTGGGAGCCAGCGAATTGTGCCCACAAATCGTCCACAAAATGTCTTGCCATAGAGTGGTGGTGAAAAAGGTCTTAACCACTAAAACATATTTTCCTTTTCAGTGCTGCAATGCGTTCACTTTTATCCCAAGGACGTATTGTGCAATGGACGTATCGCGAGAGAGTATGTTGAACAGAACGTTGAACAGTGGGAGCGTCTCAGCGTCCTTTCATGAAGGGCAGGCATTAATAAGTGCCCCACGTCCATGGGCCCACGAGTGGATGGTTTTTTACCTCTGCCTTCAATGAACGCCAGTGTTATCACTTGTTCATGTTCATGCTCATGTTCATGCACATATTCATGATACGAAAGGGAATAGAGACGGTAGATTTTAGGGATTCAAGATAAATAACCCGATCAGTGCGTCGGAAAATGCTCTTTCATGAGACTTAGGAGAAAGAGATGCACTGATAATAAGGTGAATGGACCCTTTAAAACGCAATATAACAGTCCATTTTTGTGAATTGTTGATACTAACGCACACTGATGTACGCCGATATATGTCTTCCTATATGTTTTTTATTTTACTTTATTGTTTTTTTTAGAAACTTGATCCGAACCCTCTGAATGATTAGATTTCTGGGATCAGCGCTCACGCTGAGCAGTGCTTGCTGTGTGAGCCCTGACCCCTACCATCCGATCGCGCAATTCCAGGCAACGGCAGAATTTAGTGGCGAAAGCTTAACGTGCCGCAACGTTCGGCACGGTCCGTCGTGCCCTCTGACGTCAACTGACCTTTAGTGCGACCGCTGCCACCGGCCGCAGGCCATACCTGTCAAGGACAAATAGCGAGCGCCTAAAGCGACTCGAACCCACCCCGCCACGGGTGGGTGAATCGGGAGGCAGGCGCTCTAACCAACTGAGCCACCGGGACGGGCTGAGCCACCGGGACGGACAAGATGCGCAAGAATGCACGCCTTATACGTATATAAAATTACCATTTCAGGCGGGACACTAAGCTAACCATTCGTGCACGAATGTCCTTGGCTGAAAATCGGCAGGCTTTGAGTGAGGCAAGGCCTGACAATTTCACTTGACGAGCACGATGAAGTTGGGTGGTTTGGCTCTTTGGAAATCGTGTCAATATGCTGTGAATTGCATACATTTTGTGTGGATATTGGCTACAATAAGCCTGGCTGCACTGTGCCCTTCGTATGCGGTTTGTATGGTCTCTGTGTAGGTCACGGCGTGTAGCATTGGAGACCGGTTTCGGAAACGTTGACATTGTCTGCCCTCGGTTTAGTAAAGGCTTACCATTGAGCCAAATTGTAATGCATGCTGTGATGTTCAGTCGGAACATTCGCAAACAACGTACAGTTGGTTACACGTATTTAGCTGTTTTGGTTTCCAAAACCTCATACCAATCCTCACCATGGCCCACAGTGGGTGACTCTGTGGTGTTGGAGAGGGCGAGACCAGCCGCATGCATCATCCATTCACACTTTTCTCCCCTAAGATGGATCGCTTCCCTCCAGCAAAATGCATTGCTCTCCTATTGCAGCGATGCCGGGTCGTCGAAAAGTGGACGTACTTTAAGGCCGTGCTCTTGAGCGTTTTTGCAATTTCAGAATCAACAAAATCAGTCAGCAAAAAACAAATCCCATGGCAGCTTTTGAAGAAGTACGTTACTTATTGCTGAGACCCACCTGACATTACGACCACTGGCAACACAGTAAAAAGCCGTTAAAAGTCCAAGTGCCGTCCAGGGTCGGCTGGCATAGCTAAAGCTAGGCAATTTAAGTTAGGGGACGCAAAGAACCGCCGTAACAAGCGGTTCTCCCTGGAGTATATCGCAAAGGAGCCCAAAGAGTAACTGTATTTCCTTATTTATTGCGAAAGCATACAGTAAGCCGGTGACAACCATAATTTGCACCCCTCTGCATGACTGGCCAGCGGTCTGAGCCTCGCTCTGAGGCGATGGCTGTCTCCAATCAACATTTGTGCGATAAAAGCCCGCTGCATGTCATCCAATATTGGTCCTTAGAATTCTAGCAATACTGAAGCGCTCTTTTTCCATATTTTTCTTCCGTGTGGTATTGAAAAACAAGATCAAGTTTTTTCTACAAGGCTCTTTTTGCCTTAACACGCACACGGGTGGGGGTGAAATTGACCTCTTAAGGTTTTTCCAGAATGGTTTTCGAGCGGCGCGGTGCAGCCACGCCAAATTTGGCATAGCTGTAGACAATTAAATAGCAAATCGTTTGGTATAACAAT